AGTATATAAGCTGTAATAATAGTTATATAGTCTAACTGATAGCATATAAGTTGTAAAAATAGTTAGATAGTCTAACTGATAGCATATAAGTTGTAAAAATAGTTAGATAGTCTAACTGATAGCATATAAGTTGTAACAATAGTTAGATAGTATAACTGACAGTATATAAGCTGTAACAATACTCAGATAGTCTAACTGATAGTATATAAGCTGTAATAATAATTAGATAGTCTAACTGATAGTAATGATAGTATATAAGCTGTAACAATAGATAGATAGTCTAACTGATAGTAATGATAGTACATAAGCTGTAATAATAGTTAGATAGTCTAACTGACAGTAATGATAGTACATAAGCTGTAATAATAGTTAGATAGTCTAACTGATAGTAATGATAGTATATAAGCTGTAACAATAGTTAGATAGTCTAACTGATAGTACATAGGCTGTAGCAATAGTTAGCTAGTCTAACTGATAGTATATAGGCTGTAATAATAGTTAGATAGTCTAACTGATTTCCAACTATTGTTACAGCTTATATACTATCAGTTAGACTATCTAACTAATATTACAGCTTATATACTATCATTACTATCAGTTAGACTATCTAACTATTGTTACAGCATATATACTAACATTACTATCAGTTAGACTATCTAGCTATTATTACAGCTCATGTACTATCATTACTATCAGTTAGACTACCTAATTATTGTTACAGCTTATGTACTATCATTACTATCAGTTAGACTATCTAACTATTACTTAGTCTAACTGACAGTATATAAGCTGTAATAATAGTTAGATAGTCTAACTGATAGTATATAAGCTGTAATAATAGTTTGATAGTCTAACTGATAGTATATAAGCTGTAACAATAATTAGATAGTCTAACTGATAGTACATAAGCTGTAACAATAGTTAGCTAGTCTAACTGATAGTACATAAGCTGTAATAATAGTTAGATAGTCTAACTGATAGTAATGATAGTACATAAGCTAGAATAACAGTTAGTCTAATTGATAGTATATAAGCTGTAATAATAGTTAGATAGTCTAACTGATAGTATATAAGTTGTAACAATAGTTAGATAGTATAACTGATAGTACATAAGCTGTAACAATAGTTAGATAGTCTAAGTGATAGTATATAAGCTGTAACAGTAGTTAGATAGTCTAACTGATAGTATATAAGCTGTAATAATAGTTAGATAGTATAACTGATAGTATATAAGCTGTAACAATAGTTAGATAGTATAACTGATACTACATAAGCTATAACAATAGTTAGGTAGTCTAAAGAACATTTCATCACATCACACCATGCCACTCTATCTGACAGAAAATTTTACAAACATATATTTCAACAGTTGAAAAATTCACAAGGGAATTTTCATTAGGTCATTTCTGTATAGACTTTGACTTAAGTATTGAGAAAAATGCAGATGAGACTACATGTTAGAAGGTTGAAGAAACTAGAGAAAATTTTAAGAAAGAAGATTACAGTGTGCCAGATATTAGAAGCAGCAGGTGTCTCTGTACAGTAGCTCTTCAGTAATTTAAATTTACTACAATTAATTATTGAATTATGTAAAAATAATTATATTATAGAGCAACAACATTTTAATAGTTATGAAGAGAACTTGTAAATTATTTGTTTGTCAATTTACTCTTTGTACATAACACTATAACATTAATATTGATTTACTGTTTATACATAACACTATAACATTAATATTGATTTACTGTTTATACATAACACTATAACATTAAACTGATTTACGGTTTGTATATAACACTATAAGATTAAAATCAATTTACTGTTTATATATATCGCTATAACATTAAAATTGATTTACTGTTTATATATAACACTAACATTAAAATTGATTTACTGTTTATATATAACACTAACATTAAAATTGATTTACTGTTTTTATACAACACTATATTAAAATTGATTTACTGTTTATATATAACACTAACATTAAAATTGATTTACTGTTTTTATATAACACTATAACGTTAAAATTGATTTATTGTTTATATATAACACTAACATTAAAATTGATTTACTGTTTTTATACAACACTATATTAAAATTGATTTACTGTTCATATATAACACTAACATTAAAATTGATTTACTGTTCATATATAACACTAACATTAAAATTGATTTACTGTTTTTATATAACACTATATTAAAATTGATTTACTGTTTTTATGAGCCACACCAATGAGTAGAACTGCACACATCTTTAGTTTCTGTTACACAATGACATTCTACATCATGTAAACAAATCAGAATTTAATGACTAGATTATACATGAGAAATAGTTAATAGTATTATAACATTTAAAGAAAACTCATAGCAGTCTAACTACTGAAAACTCTGAATGTTAACAAATTATAAACATTTATATATTCTACTTCCAAAATTTAAATTGGTGTATAAGGTAGAATATGGAAATTATAATTATATTCTATGTTGTGTTTTCTAATAATGGCTTTTATTATAATCATTTTTTAAAACATTCCTGTATACAATACTATGCAAATCATGCTAGCAAAAAAAATAAGTGGTGCATGAGAGCTGTTTATCCCTTAAGACAATAAAGTCTGAAATAGCAGCAAGGGTTTCCATATTATTGACTTGGATTCCTACTGGTGTTCCACTTTTGGTGATTAACAAGTTTTCAAGTGAATCTGTCTTTATTTACCAGCATTTGCTGTTTTGTGTAAACTTAAGTTTTCTAGCCTTTGATTTCTTATCACTATTCTTGTATTATTTTATAACTGACAAAGTTCCTATTAGCTATTTAACATGAAGAAATTTTACTTTTCTTATTTAAAATGAGCTTATTTTATCATGAACTTGTAAATTAACTTTCAACATTACTTGATATGTAAGTCAATCATTCAGAACAAGTTATTGTTATAACTTGTTTAAATATACAGTAGTTGTTTTCTTTTAAGGAAATGTTAATTACCTTTTCATACTCAACATTTCCATAGGTTGCCTGGCTTGAAGTCTTTCAAATTCTGTTCTCATTATATCTGTCTAAAATACAAAAGTATTTGGAGATTACCCAAATTTTTAAAAACATATAACAAATCAATGTACACTGATACACTGTTATTTCTATACCCGGTCCTTTGTCAACCATCTTAATGACTGATTATACAAATCAATGTACACGTGATACACTGTTATTTCTATACCTGGTCCTTTGTCAACCATCTATACTGATTGATTATACAAATCAATGTACACGTAATACATTGTTATTTCTATACCTGGTCCTTTGTCAACCATCTATACTGATTGATTATACAAATCAATGTACACGTAATACACTGTTATTTCTATACCCGGTCCTTTGTCAACCATCTGTAATGTTTGATTATACAAATCAATGTACACGTAATACACTGTTATTTCTATACCCGGTCCTTTGTCAACTATCTATATGATTGATTATGACTTCATAATTTAAATGTGAATCATTTAAATTTAGCCTAAATATTTTACTATATGTAAACCTACAATAAATTATCTATGAAGTTCTTATCAGTAAAAATTAGCATGATAATAACAGAATAAATCAATCAATAGTTTCTACACTAGAACTTTTAACATGTTTTGCGTACCTTCGTGAAATTTCACAAGCTTTCAGTAATAACTAAGAGCATTTTCTAGAGAAAAAAAAACAACATAAGTTTTGATGATATATTTTTTCTAAAGCTTTTTTCTCCATGAATATATGGAGTCAAAGTGTTGACTGCTCCAAGTGGAAAGTTATTTTCATGTTAGAGGACAAAATAGTTTTGTAGATTTGATGAGCAAAAACTGCTAATCAATACTGAATTTGATTAGCAATTAGCAAATACTGCTTAACATCTTTTTAGCATTCATCATTTTAATACATTATGGCAACTAAATCCAGCAATAAAAGTCTTAACTCTTTGTAAACACATCTATCAACAAAAAAGAGGTAAATGGTATTTTTATTATGTATGTATGTTATGGATTTCACGCAAAGCTACATGAGGGCTATCTGTGCTAGCCATCCCTAATTTAGCAGTGTAAAACTAGAGGGAAGGCAGCTAGTCATCACCACCCACCGCAAACTTTTGGGCTACTCTTAGTGGGAATAGTGGGATTGACCGTCACATTATAAGGCCACCCATGGCTTAAAGGGCGTGCATGTTTGGTGTGACGGGGATTTGAAACAGCAACCCACAGATTGCTAGTCAAGCACTCTAACCACCTGGCCATGCTAGGCCTTTTTTTTTGTTATTATAATAACACTTATATTCAGCTTTAAACCCTGATACTTAATTGTACAACACATGATATCCCAGAAACAAAATTGTTCCTGGTATTTAAAGCAAAACTTTAAAATTGCAAGAAATACCAAACACCTCAGCTGTCACAAAATAATACAACAATCGATTAAGCAGAGAAAGTGACTTGAAAATATTGTAACTGAACATAGTTGCCACAAAACATCTAATCTAGTTTATCTATTTATTTATTTCTTGGTCAGATAACATGATCTCCTAGGCATTTTAAAGATGAAAATGTATAGTGACTGTAGGTTAACCCTTTCCTCACAGGCATCCTTTACTGTACATGTCACAAGGTTTTTAGTGAGTTACATTCAAAATTTAATTAAACTATTTTTTTGTTTATGTTATACCAATTACTACATCATAGAAAATAATCCGTATTTTAATAGTATAAAAGTTTTAAGCTCTTAATTTTAGAAGGCAACATTTTATAAGGCAATATTAAAAAAGATCCTGAATTCCCCTGGTGTGAAAAATGTGATATTTTCTCTAGACATTTCCTCTATTATACTCACTATCCCTCCACTAAGTATGGAATTTAACAAAATTACTTATCATAATATTATTATTATCACTCAGATAAAGCATAATTTTCATAGCCTTCAATTCTGTTTGATTACAGAGCCATTAAATAGAAAATCAGACCCCTCTTGCCATGCCTACCTGTCACATCTTCTCTTTCAGGATTTGTCAATAGTTCTCTCTTACGTTTAATACTATATTATTTTTGACCAATAGAAAGCCAAGGTTTTCAGCTATTAAATAACATATTATATTACGTTGTTTTCTGTACAGAAAAATGTTAATTTATCTTTCAATACAAGTTTCATTTCCATGGATGAATTTGTAACAGCTTTTGTCGCATAGTTAGAAAGCCAGAAAAATTGTGAAAGTTATGAGACATTATCTGCTTTTTGTATGTTATTATTCTATGTTCATTGGTGCATTATTTATTGTACTACTACCATTAGTATAAAAAAGTAAGGTTAAGTCTCATCGAGTCAACAGCAAAAAAAAAGAAAAAGACCCAGGTATGTACTTTATTTTTTGTTTTTCATGTGTATTTATTTATTATTATAAAAGTAACTAAAATGGGAAACTTTTTAGGTTAGTTAAGGTTAAATTAGGTAAAATAAAGAATGATAATATAATAAAAATATTTTCACAAGGCACATGAGCAGCTTAGAGTAGCTCGTGGGTAATGTAATTTGGTAGCATAATGTGACCTATACATTCTCCAAGTGATTTACAACTTATAATGGTGCAAAGAGTTGTTAGACATGGTTCAAAGGGCAATAAAAAAATAAAATTTAATTTTAAGTAAAAATAGATATATATGTTACAAGTTTAAGGCTATTTGGGATAAACAAATGTAGGTTCATCTTACAATCTGAAGTCATTCTAGAAAAAAAAAAAAGATAATATAGATTTATGTTGATTTTTTTTTTGTGGTTACTAGGTCAGTCAAATCAACCAACCTTGTATACAGTCAGCATAGTGAAAATAACAGATAAGATATAAAGTTTTACTGAAAAAATTTTTTTTAAATGTATTTAGGAGGTTTTTAGAGATTACATAAATTACATTTGATATTTTTGAGATGAAGAAAACTATTTTTAATCTTAACATAAAAATCATTTTGCACTTGGACTGGTCAAAAAAGACTCGATATATTCACAGACAAATCTTTAGTATAAACACTTCATTAAAAAACTGATTTTTTTTGTGTACAAATGACTTGTAATGTTTACTAAAAAGTTTACCAAATTTTCTGAAGATACCCATACTGTTAAAAGTTATAACATTAAAACTACAGAGAAGTAAAAATGGTTATGTGGTCTGTCCTTCGGATCGAGCCTGGCTCAATGTTAAATGTGTAGTGCAAGTACATAAGTGTAATCTAGTTGGCAAGGCTGCAGGTGATGACTGGGCACATTCCAAACGTCATGAACAGACTACTACAAAATGTATGTGTATGCAATATGTGCATGACAAAGTGTGAAAATACTGAATGTGCCGTTTGGCAGGAATTTCCAAAAATTAACATAACTTTGGTATATCAAACTGAAATGTACTTTCACTGTGTTGTTGGAGGTGTCGAGGACAACATACCAAGAGAAAGGAATGATTCAAACATTATGCTAATCAAAGAGGGAAGTGATTCTCAACTGGGGTTGTTTAGATTCGCAAATTGCTATGTAAACCCGGATATTTTGTTCCTTGCATTTTAAGATTAAAAATAAATTTCTTCATCTGAAAAATCTCAAATTTTATTTGTGTCATCTATAAAACCTCCTAACTAAATTTCAAACGTTTTTTTATCAGTAAAACTTTATATTTTATCTGTTATTTTCTCTACCCTAACTTTATACAAGGTTGGTCAATTTGATCGAAAATAAATTTAAATTACCCCCTTTTTTCTTTCTAGAATGACTTCATATTGGAACATAAAACTACATTTATTTATCTTAAATAGTTTTAACCTTGTAACAGTATACAATTTTAACTGTTACAATTTAAATTTTATTGTTGTATTGCTCTTTGAACCATGTATATCTAATATTCCGTCATACAATTCCAAAAGCACTTGGGGAACATGTATCTCATGTTACCCTAACAAATTACATAACGCAATGGCTACTCGCAAGATGCTAGTGAGCATACCTTATGAAAAAGCTTTATTATTATTTTTCCTTTATTTTACCTAATCTAATCTAAAAAGTTTCAAATTTTTACATTTTAGTTACTTTTATAATAATAAATAAAGAATACACATGAAAAACAATGAATAAAGTGCTTGCCTGGGTCTTTTTTGTTGTTGTTGTAGATTGTCAATGAAA